CTGGCCATAAAGACCTGCTCTGCTGCTTTTTAAAAAGGAATAAACAGGCAGAGCACCAATCAAGATTGAAAAGTACAGTTGTGTTTTGGTTTATTTGGATCAACTTTGAAGAGCAAACGTACCAAGGGAAATGCTCCCCTGTAGTCTGAAATGCTGGTGTTGGGAATTTTTTCATCTGATGGCACTTCTATTAACCTTGGCTCTGGCTCTGTGACTGGATTTATAAATCAAGTTGTATGTTCATGTTGTATTCTTTGAATGCTAATAAAAAACACCTGTATTTGAAGGCAGGGCGCTCATTTGTCTAATTTATTCCTGTGTGGTTTTATAACCATGGTGCATACTTCTTTTTCTCTTAACTTTTTAGACTGAATTTGAATAGCAACAATCAGTGTTAAGGAGGGTTTGAGTTTGATGTCTCATCCTTTGATTCTTTTCTCAGTATGGTGGAGTGAAGTTTCCTTATTCCTCCTCATCCTTGAGATGCATGTCAGGGGAGGGGGAACTGACACTTTCCACTGAGTTTATAATCAACAAATCCTTATCCAGAGGACTAGAGGAGAGTTGAAGTATCTATCTCCTGAGCTTCTCTCTCAACAACGTGGCTGTAAAACAACTCCTTCAAAGCCCTTATCATCTGCCAACTCCCCTTGCAGCTGCTTGACAGCCTCTGAGTGTAGCCACTACTTTGGAGGCTGCAACTGTTGATTTATGTTTCTGGATCGGCTGAGGTGTCACCTGATGATTAGTCCTAGGGTAATTGCAGATGGCATATTTGCAGTGTATTTATCCTTTTCCCCAGCTCACTTGGATTCACACTGATTTTGTTTAGTTAATGATCTAAAGGGTAGCCTGCGGTATTTTTTCCTTTCACTTGTACCTGGGCTTATCTCTTTGACACAGATCACCTTAACAACTCAGAGCCAGAGTTTTGCATGTTTCCTGACTGAAATCAGTTTTTCCTAGACATGCCCCAAGGTCCAGATAAAAGTCTTGCTTCCATGTTCTGAGTTCTACAGATATCAGGAAAAGGGTTGATGGAGATCACTTAAAACCTTTTCATAGATAGTTGTTCTTTTGTTTCCTCATTTTCAAAGTT